ATGGGTATTGTGGCGAAGTTAAGAGAATTTTGGTATAACTCTGGATCTATTGGTCCAAATTGCAGTCCAGGATTTTACCTAAAATGGACAATGATGATCGCACCTTTTATGGCAATAGAAATGTTGATCAACAAATTCCAGAGATTTCTATATCATGTGTTATATTCGATCGCTTATTGGTTGAGCTTATACCATAAGTACTGAAGTAGCTTTGATAATTATTTCCCGCAAGATCACTAAGAATAAAGTTATTTATACCTATGAGAGGTGCTATAAATGGCCATAAAAAAGATTTCCTGAATAGTAGACCCACCGCATATTAGACCCAGCTGTAGTTCTTTTTTTTTTTTTTCTACAGTATTATTATCATAGAACACCGAGAAGGCATACTCTGTAGTTCTTTTCAAAAATATGTTGTTGTAAATGCAAAGTACGTATTCACTTCAAATTTTTACTTTTTATGATATAAATTTATAGCAATGTCCTATACCCGAAATCTATTAGAGGTTTTAAAATTAGTAGAATATACTAGATCCAGGTATTGTATATGACTATTTATAGTAATACTATTACCATTAATCTTCAGATCTTGTAGAGTTTAGTTTCGACAGTTTGAAAGAGTTCATATAGATTAAAAGTTCTAGATTTTTAAGTTATTTATTTCGAATAACTATTTAGGCTCATGATACATAATTTTATCTTATTTTGATAATTTAGTTCATAACAGATTAAAACAATTCTTTTTCAATTTATTTAAATAAAAGCCAAAATAATAATTCATTTATATTACAGTATTATAATAAATACATCTAAATTTGTAGTTTTTGAAATATTTTTTTTTATTTTTTTTTTAATTATTTTTATTTTTATTTTTATTTTTTTCTTTTTTTATTATTGAATTGCAAAATTGATTATATAATGTTTAATTGAATATTCATATACAAATTGAATACAATTTTACTAAGAGTATATAATAAAGTAGTACAGTACGGAAATGCATATTGAAACGGATGTGTAAAATCATGATAGTATGTATGGAACTACCATACAGCACTACTTTACTGAATGCCTTTTACAAAAAATTGATTAAAAAATAAAAAATAAAATAAATAATAAAAAACAGAATCAACTCAAACCTAAGATCAGCATGCTATAATTCATCATTATGTTGTGATCCTAAATTTTCAATAGATTCACAATTTTCAGATTTGTCATCAGAATTAATTAAAGATCTTACCTCTTCTAAAATAGTTAATAATTCTTCATATTTTTTAAACTTTATTCCACGATACTTCTTTTGAACACTTTCGCTTGCTGCAAGAAATTGCAAAAAATTTTTTTAGGTATTTTAAGTCAAATATTTACTTGAGTGCTGCCAAGGGAAAAAGCACTTCGATCTTCTAATTATTCTTTGTACTTGAAGTGCCATTTCTCTTGGCAACACTCATTTAGTGTTTTAAGTTTGAAAAAATGAATTTACAATTTTGTAAATTTAGCTACGAAGCAATTTTTTTCAAACTATCAGGTATAATGACCTTCAAGCAGTTGGACTAAGATCTCGGCCGGAAGCGGTTGCAGAGTGCCAAAGTATAGAGCCCATTTAAGAAAAGATAACTTCGTTAACCCAACCATGAGTGCAAGAGCAGTTCATAAAAGTTTAGGAGACAAATAT